AGCCATTTTACATAAAGATCCATGATAAATAAAGTATGTTTATTTATTTAGTCTACACTTGTTTTTACATTTAAGTATTTATGTGATCTTTTAGTGGTAGATATGGGGGGAAACCCAAAACTACAAACATTAGTATTAGAATGTTTCAATTTATCCATGTATGGGAGTGTATGGTTAAATCATTTTCTACTGTCAGATCAAAAATGCAGCATTATTTGGTAAAGAAATACAAATCTATGAGGCTGTTTGCTCACAGATTATATATGTATTCCAGAATCAAATATCTGGCATTTACAGTCTCTCTACAAAAAAAAAAACAAAACAAACAAACAAAAAAAAAACAACAACAAAACAAAACAAAACAAAATAATCTGTGAAAGCACTTTCTAAAACAAAATAAAAATATTTGTGTGTTGTTAATTCATTTCTCTCTATCCCAGCTTCTGAAATACAAATAAGCATTTCCAATAAGCTATTTTTGAAGAACTAAATGACTGGATAATCACATTTTTGGAGCCTTTCACCTCTAGTTCACTGATTCACATACAGCCAACATGCAATAGTGATGAAAAATCATTGAGATTTGAAAGCTGGTTTGTGGCCTGTGTGAAATGAACAGGTATTTCACTCCATTTTTTAGAGGATCCTGAGCAGGCACTTGGCACTTCTGAAACCACTGATGCTGAGCTCCTTGCAGGATCCAGTTGGGTCCCCATGGAGTCACAACCAGGGCTGAGATTATCAACTAAAATCCCATTCCAGACAAATTTCCTCAATACATTGATCACTTGGAGCAAACTGGTCCTTAGCCACCTGGAAGATCTCAGTGGGCAAACATTTTTGCCATGTCAAGAAGCTAGTGAAACTAGGCTGAAATGGCAGATCATTCTGGGGTCACCACACTGCACTGTTGCTTCCTGTGCTCCACAAAGGCTGGGTGAAAACAGTTTCATTTTCCACTTCTGCTAGTCTGGTACTTTGTACGTGCAATTGGCTTTAGTTATACTTAATTTGGGGAGAAAAACAGCAAAAACATGTTTATTTTTGCAGAAAGTCACAGAATAGGTGACTTCGTCTCTTTCTTTAGATGGAGGTTCATCCATAGTTATGAACAGTTAATAAAATGTCCTTTATTGAGATAATACATACCATATTCTAGAAAATTTGTCTGACTTTTTTTTCTCATCATCCACAAATTATCTCAGTTCTGTTTCCCAGTGAAGGCTTTACATTATCTCTTAAAAGATTACATCTCCTTTATGCTCATGACTAATATGCACAGATTTGCATATTTTTTTATGAAAATAAAGTAGGTTTTTTTCTGAACACTTAATATCTTGAATTAGGAGTTTCCTCAGAGGGAAGAAAGAAAAGTCTATCTTCATTAACTACTAAATATAATGTGGGGAAATTAAAATGTTTGGATGTCATGTCAGCTATATATGTTGTCTTCTATGATGTCACATTTGATTTTCTTTTTTTATGACTTTGACAGCATCATATTAAAAATTTGCACTATGACAGTACAGGCTTTGAATTATTCAGCCTATAAGTGCAGTCTTGCAGGAAGACTTTTTTGTATTTCTTGCCATTTCTGAAAAACTGACATTAAAAAAAATGTAAAAAGAAAGGGAAAATGGTTACCAATAACTAATTAATTACTTGAGCTTGGCAAAGGTAACATCATTTTAATAGAACATCACATGAATTAAAACCAGATTAACTATAACGTGCCACATTTTTTAAAAGTCATTTGAAACATTATTCTCAGGTTGGCATTTTGGCCCTGAGAAATAGATAGCAAGCCTCCCATTCATTTTCGGTGAAGTCAGGACTTCCTTCCAACTGAAGAAAGACCATATATTTCTAATCTGATTTCAGTAACTATGACTCTGAATTCTTGTGGTACTTATTTAATTACCCATCTCTTCTCTTAGCATACACTCCACACTATTAATGTTTACTAAAGTCAATGGGTCTTTTTCCATTTGACTCCCATAAGGGAGTCAAACAGTTAACATTGGAGTCTCTTGGGCAATTTTTGCAACTCTTTCAGGATTTATACTGTGTTTTTCCCAAGATGTCTTGTTTTTGCCATCTTTCTTTTTTATTCCATTTTACTACTGTCTGGTGTTAAATAAGTGCAGTCTGTTGGTTCATTTGTATCAAATAACTTTATTTGTAACCCTTTTCAGAGTGTCCAAATTTGTCTTTTCATCATTACGACTTAAGGTTATTTTTAAATCACTATGGATATTTTTAATCACTAAAGATAGAAACATCTACCCTCCATCTTGATTAAATTAATCTAGTCCTTTCGTATTAGAAACTTAAAGCAAATAAAGCAAAAAAAACCCCCACATTTTAAGAAATGTGTTATTCCCACTCCCTAATATGAAATTTTTGTGCTATCAGATATGAAAATATCATACAAAGTCAAACCTTTTTCCAGTAAACATGACTATTATTTGGTCATAATAAAGCTGCCCCTAAAATTATTCTTTCTCACAAGAATTATCTCAGCTGAGCTGTCTGGGCAGGTAAGAACTGTAGGCCCGACTACTGCTTAGGAGGGTAAAGTGTGGAATATTCCATATGAGATACAAAATAAATCCTTCCAGATATGATAATGGGGAAAAATACAAATGATCTTTTCATGTCCCCATTCCTCAAAAATGGATAGCAGGGTTGTCTTTGATTCAGCTCACAACAGTGCCAAGGGAGAATCTCATACTGATTTAGCTGGGATCAGAATCATGATGAAAGTTATACTACAAAATGGGCTTGCATTCCCTCAGAAATACTTGATGTTTATTCAAGAGTTCCGTCTGTCATTAAATATATGTATTTTGCTGTTCTTCATCTCTCTTCCAGCATCTCTAAATTCCAACTCGAAGATAAGAGTACCTATTTTCATTATAAGCAGTGAAAATTATTTATGGATCACTTACACTACATTGTTTTAGTTCACTTATTAACCTGAATCTAGCCTGTTTCTAGACATGAATCACCCTGGGACAGCATTTTTTTAAACTTAAAACAACATTTACACATTTGTGTTGCTTTCCTACTGATAAGCCAAACATTTCAAAATGTACAATTGGAAACAAGATATCACAATTCAATAACATTTCATTCTGCAATATCAATATCAGTCTTCAAATATTCTGATGGAAATAAAAATGCAAGAGCTACCAGGACAAAAAATCCTCTGTCCTTATCATTTACTGCTCAATCTCTACCCAAGCAAACTCTGGTCGAAGACAACAAATGGTATCTACAAAAGTGCAGAGTAAAAATGTCAAAGTAGAACAGCCTGCTACCAATTTTATGAGTTTTAACATCCATCCTCCTCAATGGTTTCAGGGTTTAAAAACTGTGTCCAAAAAACTGACTAAACTGAAATCAGAATCAGACTGTTTCCTTTAGAACTATATGTGTTTTGGCTGAGAATAGGCTGACCACTAAAGATGATAGAGAAACTTACTTCCATAATAACCTTTAAGTATTATTGTTTCAGACTGCCACCAGCTGTGGCAAGATGAGTCTCATAGATATTCCTCTCTGCATTACAAGGAGAAAACCATCACCCTGTGACTTGCACAGAAAAGCAAAATCTACAGAATTACAAGATTTTGCAAATGATGTGCTCTACTTGTATGTAAGAGCACTTGAATCCATTTACCCAGTGTAATGCAGGACTAAAGACATTCTCTGCAAGTAAGAAACAAGACTGTGAAAAAGTGTCAATAAAACACATGAAAAGCCGCAACTCACAATCAAGCTAAAATTCTGACAAAATTTAGCAAAAAGCAGGAATTAGATATGGGGGGGGGGGGGGGGGAAGACATTTTACTCCAACCTCCTCCAGTCATTAGCTTTATCACAGCACCAGCTTCTGGAGAAGGGAGTGAAGATTGAGCGTGAATCTTGTATTTGTATTTGTTCTCTATTTGGCAAAGAGGCACGAGACTGCTTTATTATGCTTTTTGTCCTTTCCTTCTTTCTTTCTTTCTTTCTTTCTTTTTTTTTTTATTTTCTTTTTAATTACGGCAGTTTCCAGGTCTTTAACATTACCCTGTGCCAGAGATAAAAAAAATAAAAGAAGCGGGGACCGCTGCTGCCATAACAACCCTTCGACAGGGAACTACTGGGATACAGATAGTTACTATACTAGTGTACCACCAGCCGTGTGCATCATGACACATAAAAACCAGAAAACCCTTTTCAGAGACAGCATCCCGTCGTTCGCACTCGCGGCTCTGGGCAGCGAAAGAAGAGCAAGCAGAGATTTCTAGCCCCCCCACCCCCCCACCCCCACCCCCCGTCACTTTATTTATTTAATTATGCTAGTGGAGGGAGTGTTAGAAAAGTCCATCGAGCGCCGAGCCCTGCCCGAAGTCGCCCCCGAGCCCCGGGGGAAGGGCCGCGCTCGGCGTCACCCGGCGGCTCCGGGAGGGGGACCAGGACCCTCCGCCACCTCCCACCGGAGCGACTCCGGGGAAGCTGCCAATTCTGCTGAGCTGGGTCCTCCCTCCCCACCTCCAAAGGGTCCCTTGCAAAGTTAAGGCGCTGCCCCCTCTCCGAGCCGCCGCGGGCGCCCGGGGGTGCGGGCTCGGGGGGCTCGGGGGTCTCCTGGCGGCGGCTGGGGAGCGGCGCTGCCGGGGTGTCCGCGTACGCCTGTGGGAGATCCCGTGGGAACGGGCGGAGGTGCCCGGGAGGGGCAGCAGGGCGGGAGCCCCGGTGCTCACATCCCGGCGGAGCCGCGGGGACATCCCCGCTGCCCCGCGGACCTTCCGCACGGGCGGAGGGGGCGCGGGCCGGGACCCTCCGTTCCCCCGGGGCGGGGGCAGGGGGGAGCGCGGAACCTCCCCCGCGGGTCCCCGCTCCCCCAGCACTCGTCACCGGGGCCACCCCGGCACGGGAGGCGCGGGAGCGGGAATGGGGGGGATGCCGGGCAGGTGCTTTTCGGGGCGAGGGCGCAGGGCCCCGTCACTCACCCGTCCGAGGCGGGGGCTGCGGATGGCGCGGCGGCGGCGCTGCCCCCGGTGCGCGGGGGGCTGCGGGGCAGGAGCAGCAGCGGGCGCGGGAGCAGGGGCGAGCGGCGGGGCCCGGGCTGCTCCTGGGCGCGCTCTCGCTGCCCATCCCCGGCGCTGCCGCCGTCGCCGCCGCCGGAGGAGGATGCGAGGAGAGTCAGCCCCGGGCGCGGGCACGCGCAGCGGCGGAGCGGGGAGGGGGGGACCGGGAGAGGCGCGGGGGCGCGCAGCGCAGGGGGAGAAGCTGGGAAGCTCGGGCGCTCGCTCTGGCAGCCCCCTGTCCTTCCGCGCTTCCATCCCTTCGTCCCTCAGCCTTTATTTTCTCATTTTTCTATCCTTCCTCCTTGCATCTCTCCTCCCTGCATCCTCCGATCCATCCGTCCTTCGTCCCTCCATCACTCCACCCGTTACCCCTCATCCCTCATCCATCCGTCCATCCCGCCATTCTTCAGCCCCTCCGCTTCCCCGACCGCGGAGCCGCCGTCCCCCCGCGGTCCCCTCCCCGCGCTTTCCGCCGCAGGGTGTCCCCGGAGCTCCCCGGGGCCACGGCAGGCGTGATGCTGCCCCCGCGGGGCATTCAGGCGACTCCCCCTTCCCTCTTCCCCCCCTCGTCCCTGCCCCTGGGAAGGGCAACCCGCTCCTCTGAAGGACAGGAGGTCCCCAGCCTCGCTCCCTCACTCCTAAAAAAAAAAAAAAGCACTGCTAGAGCTTTCCTATCCTGCTCTCCTGATCTTCCTTTCTTCTGCTTTGCTGGGTTTTTTGTTTTTTTTTTTTTTTTCCCCGCACGGCAGGAGTAAAAAACCCGTTCTTCTGTGGCAGGGAAAAAGGGGGTAAACAAGAGGAAAACATAGACTGCAATAGTCATTGACTGAATGAGAAACAAACCATACACTAGATTAGTTCTTAAAAGCAGTCTTTCAAGCCTGCTCCTGCAGGCTTAGAAATCTAAAGGATTTCTTGGATGTTTATTTAGGATCAAGAATAATACTGATCATTAAAAATAAAAGAAAAAACAGCTCAAAGTACATTGTGTAAAGATGAGACCTATGAATCAAGTGAATCAAAAAAACAAGCACACTAAAAGCTGGCTATCAACTCTTTATCCTTGTCCTGAACCCTCCCTGCATTATATAATGTTGATAAACTGCTGCAAGTACATTTGGGGAAAAGATACTGCAATGATGAGAACACACTGCTTTTTATTAGAGCACATTAGTATCCTTACCTGACAAGTAGTTGCTTCAGAGGTTCATTTGCACGTTTCTCATCAACCTTCCAAGTAAACAATTTGCTCGATGTTCAGTGCAGACATATGATTCCCTGGTGTCACTGTCTCTGTCCTAGACGTTTCTGAATGGCTTGTGGATTAACTTACTGTGCTCTTCTGCTCTGCCTTGTACCAGGAGCTGTGCAGGTATCAACAGCTCCCACTTGTGAAGCCAGGAAAGAGAGAGATTGGGTAGATTTCCTCGTAGCTCCACAAACTGCTGATTTGCTGTAAGGGCTAGAGTCACTTAGAGAGTAAGTCTGGTCTTCCAGCAGGTTAATTCAGAAAGAGAGGCCTGACCCAACATTCACTGTAGACAATACAAATATTTCTATAACCATGGTGGGAATTGGTTTAAACCCCCGTGAGCTTGCTGTTGGCGTGAAGGTATTTTTGAGTGCAGCTATTCTAGTGAGAACTCCTTGGGAACAAGAAAAATTACTCCCAGGGAACAGGAAAAGGTACTAAAATCTGCATCTTTTATTATTGAGAGAAGGTCAGGGACCTGACTGTGTTTCCCTGCAGCTGTTGGCAAAAAATATGTACTAGAAGGCAGGTTACAGCCCCTGGCTAGAGGATGTCTTGTGTCGCTGTAGGCTCAACCAAACTACCAAATACAAAAATGAAAGGGAAGGGAAATTACAGGTCCAGCTCTGGGCATCACTAAAGTCAGTAGGAGAAGAACTTGAAGTTTCATTTTGAACCACTATGGCCTGTAAAGGAACTCAACAAATTAATTTTTCAGTGGTTTTTTTTCTTCTTTGGTCTCAGTCCTAGGATTAGCTCTAAGCACCATTCTAACTTGCAGATTTCTACTATTTTGCCTGTGTTTGTCTGTCTCCCCCCTCCCCACTCCTTGCCTTCTCCAGCAGAGGCTCTAGACTATTAAAAGTAATGGAGGTAGTCAGAGAAGGTAAATAGGGCAGTGGGAAAGATTTGGACTCTGTATAGATAATGACATCATCCTATTTAGCCTGAGAGGCAAAGAAATTGGCTTATATTTTTAAATAAAATTAAGATAGGAGTTTAGTATATTTCATGTAGTTTTTAATATAGGTAATTTTTTGTTGTTTCTCACTTGCTCTCATGTTGCTGATGAATGCCTTCAGTAGGGACAATACAATAGTAGTCTGGTAGTTAGAGTCATTCCTGAGAAATGATAAACTGAGTGTAAACATTTTTTTCACTGAGATTCAGAATAGGAAATGAACCGTTGAGGTTCTGTCTTTCCTCAGATGAATGGCTTTAGCTCTCCTATCTTTGACTACAAATTTAGCTTGCATTAAAGCAAGCTTGTATATGCCCACAGAATTTTTTTTTTTTTCACCAAAATTATTTTGTTGACAATTGGTCAGTTCTTCAGGAAATTACAGGGCTTACTTCAGATGTTTGCATTTATGTATTTGTGCAAGTATTTGTGTTTATGTACAATGATTTAGCTGTCTTTAAATTATAGCAGAATTTAGCTCATGAAGAATACAAATATTAACCTTTACACTTCAAAGTCAATGTACTGAACTGCTTTATTCTTAGATATGAGGTTTCACCTCTTATATAAAACCTTTGTAATTGCAGTAAATATTTTTTTCTTATTGAAGATAAAATGTAAGCCCTTTGTGATTATACTGTTGCTATATAAATTGCCTTTGCAAACGCTGGCTGCTGAGCTTGCCAACTTAGACTGGAAATACAGCTTATGTTGTCTTCTGTGTGAAGGTTCCAAAATATTTTCTGAGAGCACAGTAATAGATTTTATCCACAAATGTGGATATTAATAGATATTTTAAAAGTAAAAAAGCATGATATTTTCAGGGTCAAAATAAACAGAACAATATTATAAAAATAAAACAAAAGAAACAACAATTCCATTCTCAATCAGTTTTCCAACTGCAAAAGTAGATATAAATCAAAATCATTGAAAAAAAGAAAAATATTTATTTTGTATCTAACATGATCTGAATATTTATATGAGATGATTTTAAAGAAGAAATATTTAAGAGTTTACTGAAATTCTTACATGCTGTACATAAATGTCTGCTCTTCCACTGGTGTTTCCATAAAGTTAAGCCCATCAGTGTTTGCCAGGATAGGACTACTCTTTTTGCCCACATTTATTTTAAAGGACCCAGAACCCATGCTTGTGGGAGTCCCGTGTGCATTTAACTATTTGTAATTGATCGTTGGCTTGGGGGTTAAGTACATCATTTAAAAATCTATCATCCTTTGGCTTGCTGTTCATGACATTCATTAGTTATAGCTTGCCTTAGACTTGGCCCTGTTTCTGTAGCTGGATTGCCTAATACCAGTACCTGGAGCTATGCAATTGGCCTTAATGACCTTGATGAGCACAGGCACTTGATGCAGTATGCAAAGTTGTGGACAAGGAGTAGGATTCTAGATTGGGACCAAAACTGTATTGTACAGTGAGAACCAAACCCAGGCTGAGGCTTTGGGTTTGATTAAGTTTAACAAATAACACAAAATACTGTTAATATTTGAATCTGAGAAAGAACTGTATGCTCTGATACAAGAAGTGTATCAGAGCCCACTCTGATAGCAGAGTGGTTTAAGTGTCTCTTTTTAGACACTTAAAAGAGTGTCTTTTATACTGTCTGTTAATGTCTTTATTTTAGAAAAAATAAAATAAATCACTTATTAAAATATTTTCTATATGGAAAGGTAGATAATAGGTTACATTACTGCTTTATTTTATTGACAGAGAATTTTGTTTTCCTTAAAAGTTTTTTACAAGGATAAACAAAGATTAAGAATAAGAAGAAATCTCTTGTGAAATAGGGTGCTTGGGGGTTTGGGTTTGGGTATGGCCTTGGGTTTGGCTTTTTTTGTGCATGTGCATAGTACCATTTTTGTTAAGTAAAGCTGTTTGCTAAGCAGCAGTTCCACATTATACAGGATAATCAGATTTAAAATTTAAAATTAAATGCCTCTGCTCTATGACTCATAGGACTGATCCTGAAAAAGTGTTTTGCTCTAACAGGCCAAGACAAAGCAAGGACTTAATTCTTGAATCCAGAATGGTCTGGGATACTGCTACCTTTAAAGGGACCATGCTGCATATAAGCCTCAAACTCCCCTGAGCTCAAAGGATGGCTGTGATAACTACAACTATTCTAGATAAGGCTTTCTGTCATGAATTTCTTTACAAATTTGGTCCTCTTCTCTTACCAAACACAAAGAACCTTACAGGCAAGCTTATATCAGCTGGTGAAAAAAGTGTGAGAGAAGAATTGAAATACAGTTACCCCTTTTCTATTACAAGAACAACTTAGGAGAGGGAAGATAGAATCAGAAACCAAACATATGGTATAACACTGGTATAACTTCCTTTCCATTTTAATCAAGTGCAAAAGGGACAAATAATTGAACTAAGGAACTTCAATATATTTATAGATTCTCATAATACGCAGTAAATCTTTACAGTTCTACTCTCCAAGGAGATTCTTGAGTAAATAATAATGACTTTGGCCTCTTGGATAAATGAAGATGGATGCACTGAGAGAAATCTAATTATAGATTTCTCCTGCCTCTTTCCTGCATTGACTCTTATCTTGTGCACCAGTATTATATTGTTGATACTCCATATATATATATATATATTTCAGTAGTGGTACACTAAAGGAAGCTTAATACAGGAAAAAGGGAGCACAAAAACTGCAACGGATTTGTTTCTAAGTTAGTTCAGTGTTTAATCTGGTGGTTTTGGAAACAAAGAATCTACCAATTTCTTTGAAAATTACCCAGTGCTACAAAGTGAATGCAACTATGCTGCAAACTCTGCCTGTTCTGTGTATCATCAACAGAATTGTTCATTAAGGGCCACATCTTCACTAGGAATGATTTGAACTTATTCCTACTATGTGCCACAGTAGTAACTCTTTCTAAATAAGGATGCAGGTTCTTTTGTGAAAGTTATGTATTGCATACTTTATTTGATCACCTCTGAATCAAACAAGCTAAGCAGCTGAACAAACTTACAGCTAAAAGCTCTGTTTCTTTGTGGGTTGTTTTGTTTAGCTTTTCTTTTTTAGATGTGAATATGCTTATAACAGGAGCTTCTGTAAGACATTTTTATATCAGTGGATCACAGGGCTATGCCCACAGAAGTCTGAAATGTAGGCATAGCTGAATTTCAAGTTGGAACTGGCAGCAGAATATAGAAACTGTTATTGAGTGCATTACTGGAAGAAAATAAGGACCCAGGTTGTCTGGCCATTTTTACTCCTAACACTGAGGGGAATAGATATAGAGCCTTTTCATGTGAGAGACCAGTCTGGTTGGGCAGAGCCCACAGTTGGAAAAATGGACATGTTTTCTACTTGAAACACAAAGTCAATTATGGAATGGTTTGTTCTGGGAGGGACCTTACAGATCAGTTGCAACCCTCCCTATGCTGGGCAGGGACATTTTCCACTAGAAAAGGCTGATATGTATAGATGTGACCAAGCTAACAGCGAGAAGTACAAACATTTAACTCCGCAGTAACTAATTTTACTGTGTCCTTGAAGGGACATATTAAACTTTAAAAGTCTTCTTGCCCATGTGAGAGTTAATCCTCTATTCTCTCAGCGTTTTTCTTCAGTATCAGTTACAATTGTTAAATATTAATTATAGACTTGACTCTTTCTTTTGCACTGTTCTCTTAGATTCCTGGCTTCTCTCATTTGTCTGGAAAGATTATAAGGCGCTTGGAATCACAACCCATCATTTGTTTCACTTTCTGAAGTATTTAGGACAATGGGATCATGGCCCATCGGTATGGTTCCAGCTAATAGCTAGCAATAACAACAACAATGCATCAGATCCAAATCCTGTAATCACGTGGGCTAGACAGCTGGGACATATGGAAAGCCTCAGAGTCTTTTGATGTTGGCAAAATATGCAATGGAATGGGAAGCAGTGGTGAAAAGTTTGTGT